CAAGCTATTAGTTAACTTGAATCACAAATCATGAAGTTTACCATCGAGCTTTGATTTATCCAAAGGAAAGAGTAAAGATTAAAGAAAACCCTAAGTGCGCTATGTAACAACAAAGCTATAAGAATCTAAGGTTCGGGGGTTGGTTATACCTAGGGAAAGTTCTAGCATTCTAAGTATCTGTAGTACTCTACTAGAACCTCTTGTTAGTATTTGTGTTAAGCTAAAGTTTGCTTGCTAAGGAAAAGGGTGCTAAGCTAAAGGCATAAGGTTTATTTCTAAGTATGCTCGCCAAGACATTACATCTCGTGCCTACGTATCCTGACTAGGATGGAATCAAAGCATTTGTAGTTCACCTATCTAAGGTTGAGAAACTCTTGATTACGGTCAAGGTTCCAAAGGGAAGTAAGTATTCATAACCCTGATACTTACACATAGTTAACAAACTCTCTAAGTCTAAGTTGAAAGACTAACTAGGGATTGACTCCAACAAAGTCAAAGGGGAAAGTGAGTACTCATAACAATGGTACTCACATAAAGTTTACAAACTCTATACCTAATTCTAAGTTGCAAGATCAATTGGCTCTAACGAGGCCAAAGAGGGAAGGTAAGTACTTATAACAATAGTACTTACATAGGGTTAACAAATCCTAACCTAATACTAGGTTAAAGAGGGGAAATTGGCTATAACAAGGCCAAGAGAATGACTCTAACAAGGTCATGTGTTAGGTAAGAGGTAGACTAAGTTAACCTAAATGTGACATGGCAGTCAATAAGAGAAATCCTTTCCTTTGGACTTTAGGGAACAAGCAACTTGTAACAACAAGAAATTAAAAGGTAAAGCTTGAAGCAACAAAATAACAAGCGCGCATGAATGGCAACAATTAACAAGAATACCTCAAGACTAAACTCAAATCTTCAAGAATGAAATCAAGCCCTAACATCAGTTATCTAATATTCTAATGAAGTTCAAGATCAAGATCATACTCATATAGCACAACATGGAAAAAGAACTATTGACTAAACTAAATACAAATATTTATGAACATGTATTTTTTAGATTTTTATTATTAATACAAACTTAACGTTTTATTATAACTAAATAGAATGGGATAATAAATAAACAAATAAAAAAAACTAAAATTAAAATAAATAAAAAACCAGGGTCTAAAAAACATTAATTAACAAGATAACAAATACTATGGAGGAAAAAAAAGCCAACAACAAGGACATAAAGCCCAAATGGTGCTAGGACCATGTGCAGAACTTGAGGCGATGGGTTTGAAGCATGGGTCGGCTGACCCAATTCAAATGTCTGCACCCTAAAATAAAAATAAACCTAAAAGGGAAAGAAAAAAAGAAACGACCATGTATGGAAGCAAAAATGCTATCTGGAATGGAGAAAAAAGAGCATTCACAACAATGTTCAAGAAAAAATGGGAATCTTCCTCACAATTCCTTTCTTGCTTCTCACTCTCTATCATATTTGATCATCTTCTGATTGCTCAACCATTACAATTTATCTCTCCAATCTGTTTCCCTGCCTATCATACCCTATCGGCCTCAAACCTAAAATGAAACTCAATGGAAAAGAAAAGAAAAAAAGAAAGTAAGAAAGGAAGGAGACAAGCTACCAACAGAAAATGCAGAAACCAATTGATATTCTCAGATAATTCTCTTTCCTTTTTCAATTTTATTATCACAAGTTCTTCTTCTTCTGTGATGTTAGTTGTTTTTATTATTGTTGTATTGTTTCTGTTTTATGAGGGAATATGTGGTGGAGTAGGTGTTAGTGACAGTCAGGAAAATTGGAAGAAAGAAGGTGGTTTTCTATGGTCACTATGATGGAACAAAATTTAGACATCTGTCCCCTGAGGAACAAAATTTCAATTGGCATCAGAGCATGCACCCTAGCCTGTTGGGTGAGCTCCAAGAAAGATAAAATTTGCTCAAATGGAGACAATTAAAGATGGAAGACCAGTTAATAAACCATCTTTTTGGGATGAAACAAACTATGATTGTTGGAAGGTGATGATGGTGGAGTTTCTCAAATAATTGGGAAATAAAATTTGTAAAGCTCTAATAAAAGGATGGAAACATCTAGTTGTTACTTTTAAAGACGACTCAACTAGCCTAGAGCCAGAGGCTGATTGGACCAGAGTTGAAGATGATGAAGCACTAGGAAACTCCAAGGTTCTAAATGCTATTCTCAAAGAGGTTCATAAAAACATGTTAAGGTTAATCAATACATGTTCAGAAGCTAAATAAGCATGGGAGATACTCAAGTTTGCTCATGAAGGCTCATCAGAAATCACATGCCGAAGCTTCTATCAACAAGGATTAAAAATATGAGAATGAAAGAAGAAAATTCTGCCATTTCTAAGGCTTACTCTGGTAAGTATATTACTAAAAGTGAGTACGATGATGAAGGCTTAACTAAGGAAGAGATATCTCAAATGGGAAGAAGCATGTAGAGAAATAGAGATCCTGAAGAAAACTGTGAGGGAGCTTCATCTAGAAAATAAAAATAATCTTTCTACTACAGTAACTAGTCAGGGTGAAGATATTTCTGATCTTACATCCAAGCTAAAGGAGTTAGCAGAGTTTGTAAGGATAATGAATATAGCTCAAGACATGTCATTTAGAGTTATGGAAGAAGTTGAGAAGTAAAAAACTGGTGTTGAATTGCTAAAAGATATACAAATGGAAGAAAAAAAAGCCAAAAAACTTTGTGCCATAGGATTTGACTACAACTATGTGAAAAAAAGGATCAAGTGGTTCAGCATCGAGATCGACATGCACACCACCATCGTAAGGGCTACAATAGAAGATGTCATCATTGTGGAAAATACGGGTACACAAGGCCAAATTGTTATAGTGGTGACCGAAGAATTTTGAAAACTGATGTCAGAATGAGTCACAACAGTGGATGGAAGGCAAACCAGAGTTATGACACGTTTTGCCAAAAAAAATTCTCAACAGAAGACAATGGGTCAACTGGGTAAAGCATAGTAAAAGGTTGTCTCTCACTAGGTTTTAGACACCATGTTAAAATACGAGAGACTAAGAGACATTTAAATAAACCATGTATTTAAATAGCATTACGGAGACTGCATTATATATAGTCGACGTGTGACTTTCTATATACAAATATTATTAACATATACAAATATCAACAATTAGCATAATTAAAAATTATATTATCAATATTAATTTGAACTAGTAAAATGTCATGATCAGATTTGTTGATAAAAAGAGTCTTATAAACATTTCGTCTTTGAACATTGTTTTCAAGTATAAACTTGATCAAACGACCATACCAAGATCTAGGAGTCTGCCTCAAACCAAGAAAACCTTTTTCAATTTCAAAACACGGTTACAAAAGGGATTTTATGAATTTGAGAGGTTGATCAACATACATTTCGTCTAGGATCTAGCCATTCAAAAGCACACTCTCTGTATCCTTTTGGAAGAGTTTAAAATTCATGATGCATGAGAAAGTTAGAAGCATCCTTATGGCTTATAATCGAGCTATAGAGTCACCTCCTTAAAATTGTTGGACAAGAGCTTGTACTTAATGGAGTCGGATACACCTATGATTTTCACCTGAGTATTGATGGCGACAATGTGTTCCTTCAAGTCATTTTCATACTAAAATTCACTAGCGATGATGGTTTGAAGTTTTCTCATACTAGAGCGCACCAAATCTCGTCAAAGAGAAGATGGGGTCCAATACCTCGTATTTGACATGGATGTCTTCAAGATGTCACTCTTGAAAGGCCATGATGTTATCTTGCAAAGCTTGGCTGTAACAACTCAACTTTCCACTACAACCTGCATTTGAGTTGAAATGCCATTGTCATCGTTGTCGGTAGTGCTAGCTGTTGCGGTGCCTCGTTGTGTCACCATATTCAGGAAGATTACCGAAGAGAATGAAAGCTGGATGTAAGTGTGGCCTATGATAGTTTTACCGAGGTCCCACAGTGAGCGCCAACTGTACTTATGGAAATACAATAAGGAGGGACCCTACGTACGAGGTTGGTTACAAAAGTTTAAGTGGGTTGAATCTCCCATTCATCTGGATTGAGATATTTATATGCCAAGCTTTATGAGACAAGCTGATGGATGAGGAACCAAGTCCCTCCCAACTACTTAACTAAGCACACAGGAACTAGAAAACCCACTATCCACGCTAATACAAATAATCAATTTCTTTCTTGTGAAAGTGGAAAAAACGACCTTTTTAGAGACACGTGGTTCAACACACGTAAATATTCAGTTATCTTTGAGTGAATATCCAAATGGGCCGAACGACCTATCCCATTGACGCAATGAATCGAAACGGATGACCCTCCGTCCGATCACACCTGCCCAAAAATTTGATTCCCATTGTGTCTTCTTGGACCAATTGATTTATATACCATGTTTTTCTAAGGACTAATAAAAAAAATTATAATCCAAAATATAATTTAAATTAAATAGAGTGTTTTAGAGATACTATCATCAATAAACTAGAAGTTGTTGATATTTACTTATATTTAATTTATTTTAGTAGTTATTTTTACATACAATACTATTTAAGTAAAATTTAAGGACAACAAAAATGGTAAATTAGTTGTTTTTGTCTTACATAGAAGAAGAAGATATCATTTCTCTTTTTCAAATAATTAAAGCAATTGTTGCATTTTTTTTTGGGCAAGCAATTGTCGCCTGTTTAAAAAAAAGTAGAAAAAGAAAAAGCGAATTACATACTACTCCTATCCGCGTGCCTTTCTTTCCAGAGACAAACAACCGTTGATAAACCCTTCCATCTACGGTCACTATCTCCCCTCTTCATCATTCCAAATTCCAATTCTAAAATTTCCCCAATTCCCGCATTTTTCCCATTCCCTTCCACAACTCTACCCTTTATATATCACATAAATCCACAATCATTTCAACACAAACCTATCAATTAATCCTCAATTTCTCTCTAATTTCGATTCAATTCAATCTCAATCTCAATGGCTCGTACTAAGCAAACAGCTCGCAAGTCCACCGGAGGAAAAGCCCCAAGGAAACAGCTAGCAACAAAAGCTGCTCGCAAATCAGCTCCGGCAACCGGAGGAGTGAAGAAGCCACACAGATTCAGGCCAGGAACCGTTGCTCTGAGAGAAATCAGGAAGTACCAGAAGAGCACTGAGCTTCTGATAAGGAAGCTTCCATTCCAGAGGCTGGTGAGGGAAATCGCTCAGGATTTCAAAACTGATCTCCGATTCCAAAGCAGCGCTGTTTCTGCTCTTCAAGAAGCTGCTGAAGCATACCTTGTTGGTTTGTTCGAAGACACAAACCTGTGCGCTATTCATGCCAAGAGAGTTACCATTATGCCCAAGGATATTCAACTTGCTCGCAGAATCAGAGGCGAGAGGGCTTAGATTTCATTACTATGATTCAATTTCTATAGTTGTTGGTTGTGTGTCTCTGTTAGGGTTAGGTTTATGATTTTGTTGTTTTAATTTTCTGTTTAGAAGGTTAACTCGTTGTTATCCTAGTACAATGCTCTCATCTGCAATTTAGTAGTACTGTAGTTATACAGAGCTGTGTTTTGTATCTCACTGTTTGGGTAATTATCCTCTTGAATTGAACATCACTTTCTTAGATATTTTGTTGATGTTTGTATTTTTAATTGTGAATGAAATCCACATTTAGGTAATTAGAATAAAATTTGTTAGGTTTTCTACATTGTTGACCCTCATTTTCCTGGGCAATAGAGTGAATTTCTGGGCTTGGAAAAACTTTGTTTCCTTGTGATAATGTAAGTCGCAATGTAACAAAATGAGATGGTAGCCCTAGGGATATCAAACTGAGAGAGTATCTTTCGAAACAATCCTGACAAAAATCTTTGTAGATACATTGTAGAAAGTATCTTTCGATTTTTTTTTTTTTTTTAAATTACTAGCCTAACAGAATGACCCTTCCTAAATGTTAGACTGCTATATTATTTTGAAATTTTTGTTTCTAAATTACAGTAAAATCATATATTGATAGGGCTCTAACAAACCAATTCAATTACCCATTTTTATGAGTAATGATAATATAGCTTCGTACTTATTGAACGTTTAATATTCATTTATTTAATAATTCAGTTTATTAAATATGTAATTCTGTGTTAAGTATATTGTAAAATTTGATAGAGTCAAAATAGATTGTATTTGATAGTAATTAAAATAGATAGTTGTCAAAGAAGATAACTTCGACAGAGTTAAACTAAACATTTATTGTGCTGTTAATTAGTTAGATATTACTTGATGTGCAAGTAATATTATCTATAAATTGGGAGATACCATACTATTGTAAAATGTGGAATTAAAGAAATTTAGTAAGAATAAATGCAGAGAAAAATTATGCAGAATTTGATTCATGTTCTTTCCTGTTCTCCCATTTCACTTTCTCAAATTATAGTGTAGCAAAATCATCTTGCAACTAAGGTGTGCTTGAATCACTCAAGTGACGAGTGATGAACGAGAGGAGCAATCAATCTGAAAGATTGATTCAGATTATCTCCAAGATTGAGCTTTAATTCCAACATCTGGTATCTAGAGTTATGACTGTGATTCTTGAGAGGCATAGTGCAATGATTTCTCATCCTTACGTGCATTTTCCAGTGAATCTTCCAATTTTAAATGGTAAGACTTATGAGAATTGGTATACACATATGAAAGTTGTTTTATGTTATTAAGATATTTGGAATCTTGTGAAGAATGAAGTAACACCAATTGGAGAGAATGTTACTGGATGAGTAAAAGATTGCACACAAAGATTTGATGAAGAAAGACTTTAAAACTCTATAATCCATCAATGCGTTGATCCAGACAAGTTTGAGAAAGTTGGTGATATAGACTCAACAAATGAAGCATGAGACATCCATGAGAAATCATTTGGAGGTGCTAAGAAGGTGAAGAGGTAAGGTCACAAACTCAGCAAATAATGTATGAATTGCTTTAGATTGAAGAAAGTGAAAGCATCACAAATTTTTTCACTAGGATAACAAGGCTGGTGAATCAAATCAAGATGTGTGGAGAAGTGTTGACATTAAGATCAGTAGTTACAAAGATCTTGAGGCCATTGACTTCAAAATACAATCATGTGGTAATAACCATATAGAAGAATCGAAGGATTTGTCATGCATGACAAGAGAACAACTTCAAGGAACACTTGAATCTCATGAAAAAAGAATGACCGAAAGATCTGCAAGTAAGACAAATAATGATGTAGCTCTGCAAGCGCATTCAAAAAAAAAAAGAGAGACAAATGAAGATGGAATGGTAACAAAGGTAGAGGTAGTTACAACAATTCTACTGGTAAAGGAAACCAACAAGAAGATAGTTCCTCAAATCATAGACAATCTTCAAACCAAAACAATCATAGAGGTGGTGCTGAAGATAGAGGAAAAGGCGATGGTAGAAAATCTGATAAAAGCCATATTCAGTGTTATAACTGTCAGAAGTATGGACATTATGCAAGTCAATGTCGAGGAGGTAAGAAAATAAAACCAAGAAAGTGATGCAAAACTTGCAAAACATGAAGAAAAAGAGATGTTGTTGATGGTCACAACGAAATATGAAGAAAGATTAAAGACCATTGGTACTTAGGCTCAGGCTGCTCATCACACATGAGTGGAAGGAAAGATTTGTTTGTCAACATGAATCCCTCGATGAATAATAAGGTGAAATTTGCAAATAACAATACACTGACTACTGAAGGTATTAGTGATGTTCTGGTTATGAGGGAAACTTATAAAAGATAAGTAATATCCAATGTACTATACATATGAGGCATGAAAAGAAATTTGCTCAACATAGGGAAATTGATTGAGAAAAATTACAAAGTGTTGATCGAAGATAAGATGATGAAAGTTCTCGATTCAGGAGGTAGGTTAATCTTGAATGCACTTATGTCTCAAAACAAAACCTTCAAGATCAAACTCAATGTGATGGAGCACAAGTGTATGAAAACTACATGTAGCAGAGATGAATGACTGTGGCACTAAAGACTTGGCCATCTCAACTTATAAGACCAAAAATCCAAAGAGAAGAAATATGGTTTCAGGATGACCAGAAATCAACATTCCAAATGAAGTGTGTGAAGAGTGCGTTCAGGAAAAACAACACAAAAATAGATTCAGTAAAGATGCAGGAAGCAAGTCGAAGGTAATTCTGAAAGTCATATATTCAGATGTACGTGGTCCTATCCAAGTGAATTTGATTGGAGGTAACTGATACTTTGTCACATTTGTAGATAATTTCAATCGAAAACTATGGACACACCTAATAAAAAAAAGTGACATGCTTGAGGTGTTCACAAGGCTTAAATCTATGGTGGAAAGACAAAGTAGTCGAAAACTCAAAACTCTGAGGACTGATGGTGGTGGAGAATATGTGTAGAAGGATTTCAATGCATTTGTGTGAGAAAGAAGGGATTGTGAATGAGATGGTGTCACCCTACACTTCGTAGCAAAATGGAACTGGAAAAAGGAAGAATAAAGCCATCATGAACATGGTGATGAGTATGCTAAGAGACAAACACTTACCTAATGTGTTATGGGGTGAGTCTGTGTCGACTGTAACATACATCCTGAGCCGATGTTCGATTAAGAAGATAGAAGGAATTACACCAGAAGAATGTTGGTCTGATGTCAAGTCTAACTTAAGTCGTCTGAATGTTGGTCTGATGATCGACTATAACACATACACACATACTTGATCAGTTGAGAATGTAGCTTGATAACAAGTCTGGCCAAATGATCCTAATATGATATCACTCGACTGGTGGATACAAACTATTCGATCCCTTGAACAAGCAAGTTGCAATCAACAAGGATGTGATCATAGATGAGTTGAAGGAGCGGGATTGGAAAGACAATGTCAAGAAGGATTCAATGTGAATCGTATGTGATGAAATAGCTAGTTAGTGAGGCTGACATAGAAGTTAAATAGGAAAAAGTCAGAGGTCAAGCATGCATAAGCATACCTCAAAGAACAAGAAACATGCCTGCAAGGTTGCAGGAATGTGTGATTACATCAGACGATGTGGTCGATGATGAAGGTGAACTTGTTCACTATGCTTTTTATGCAGATACTGAGCCATTTAATGTAACTGAGGCGTTGAAGGATTCGAAATGGATACATGCGATGAATGAAGAACTGAAGTCCATAGATGTTATCAATACCTGGTCACTAGTCGAATTGATACAAGACAAGAAGGAAATTGATGTGAATTGGATTTATAAAGTGAAAATGAATCCAAAAGGAGAAGTAACCAGACACAAAGCAAAACTTGTATCCAAAGAATTTCTTTAGAGAGAAGGAATCTTCTTTGATGAAGTTTTTACACCAGTTGCTAGGATCGAAATAATCAGGTTGATTGTTGGTCTAGAAAACATGAATAACTGGTATATGTGTCAAATGGACGTGAAATGTGCATTCTTAAATGACACATTAGATGGAGAAGTTTATGTTACACAACCAGTTAGGTTTGTGAAACAAGAACAGGAAAACAAGATATACAGGCTGCATAAAACCTTGTATGGACTCAAGCAAGCTCCAAGAGCTTGGAATAAGAAGATAGATGACTTTCTAAGAGAAAAAAAATTGTGAAGTGCACAATTGAGCATGAACTAAATGTCAGAAGAAGTAGGAGTGAACTGCTCATACTATGTCTTTATGTCGACGATCTGTTGATAACAAGTAGCTGCAAGAAGGAGATCGAAGACTTCAAAGGTGATCTGAGCAAGGAGTTTTGAAATGTCTGACCTGGACAATATTTCATACTTCCTTGGTATCAAATTCTACAAGAGGCCTGATGATGGATCAAAGAAGATATGGAAGTGCAATACTCAAAGTGTTTGAGATGGAAGACCGCAATGAAACTTCGACACCTGCTGAACCAAGATTGGAATTGTCGAGTACTCAGATGAAGGTGATGTTAATCCAACTCAGTACAAGAGACACATTGGATCGCTAAGATACCTTTGTCACACAAGGCATAATCTTGCATACATTGTAGGTATGATAAGTAGATTCATGCAGAAGACAAAGATATCACACCTTGCAGCCATAAAAAGGATACTAAGGTATTTCAAAGGAACTCTCAACTATGAAATTTTGTTTTCTGTAGCAGAAGAAGGAAAAGAATGCAAACTAGTAGGTTACATTGACTCGAGTTGGTGTGGTGATATTAAGGATAGAAAATCTGCAGTTGGATATGTATTTATACTAGGTGGTGCACCGGTTGCTTAGAGTTCAATAAAAGAACCAGTAGTAGTGCTGTCATCATGTGAGGTGGAGTACATAACTGCCTCCCTTTGTGCATGTCAAGCAACATGGATGGTAAACCCGATTGAGGAGATTCCAAGAGAAGACCATGGAGTAATGACCATGAAGATCGACAACATGTCTGCTATCAATTTGACGAAGAACCCCATAACACATGGAAGAAGCAAACAAATCGAGATGATTTTCAATTATCTTTGAGAGGAAGTAGCAAATGGGAAGCTGAACTTGGAACACTGCAGAGCTGAGAATCAGATTGCAGACATCATGACGAAGGCTGTGCAAGTTGAATTGTTCAAGAGATTGAGAACTATGATGAATGTAGATAGTTTAGACACAATGAATTAGGTGGTATGTTAAAAATGTAATTCTTTGTGTTAAGCATGCTATAAGATCTGACAGAGTCAAAGTCAACTGTATTCAATAGTAGTTGAAATAGATAGCTGCTGAAGGAGTTAACCTCAACAGAGTTAAACTTAACATTTATTTTGTTTTGTTAGTTAGTTAGAGATTACTTGATTTGCAAGTAATCTCATTTATAAATAGGGAAGTACCCTACTACTGTAAAGTGTGGAATAAGAGAAATTTAGTAAGAATAAATGCAGAGAAAAATTATGCAAAATTTGGTCCATCTTCTTTTCCTTTCTCTCAAAATTCTAATTTGTTTTCTCTTTTTCAATTCACTTTCTCAAATCATTGTGACGAGTGAAGAACAGGAGGAGCAATCAATCAAAAAGATTAATTCTCGCTCAATCAAATATTGATTCAGATTATCTTTAAAATTGGGATTTAATTCCAACACAGTTAAAACACTACATTAAAATCATGGGGTATTTATTCTTGACTCTGGATAGTTTTAGTGCTAAAGTTTATTTCTATAAAATAACATTAAAGAATTAAATAAAAAATGCCATTTTCATTTTTATAAATACTTACCATCACACACATATATATATGGAATTATTGTGATCCAACACCAGCTCCCCAATGCAAACCATTCTCTGTAAATATGAGATGGAAAAAAGAAACAAATTACAGTATAAAAAACTCAAGGCTATTTTTTTTGTTGTCTTTATGATTGCTGATGCTGTTGCTGTTGAAGATTGACTAATTTATAATATGGTCCATGTTTATTCTCTATAAGACTTGAATGTGTTCCTTGCTCAATAATCTTCCCATCTTGCAAAACTGAGATTTGATCTGCATTTCTTATTGTGGACAATCTATGTGCCACCATAACAGTTGTTCTGTTCTGCATTAATCTGTCGAGAGCTTGTTGCACTATTCGCTCCGATTCAACGTCGAGTGCACTGGTTGCTTCATCAAGTAGCAAGATTTCAGGATTCTTTAGAACAGCTCTAGCAATGGCTACTCTTTGTCTCTGTCCACCAGAAAGTTGAACACCTCTTTCACCTACTTTGGTTGAGTAACCTTCTGGAAGTCCACTTATGAAGTTATGAGCATTTGCTAGCTTAGCTGCTTCAATTACTTCTGAATCAGATGCACCTTCTTTTCCATAGAGAATGTTTTCATAAATTGATGTGGCGAAAAGGGCTGGTTCTTGTTGCACTAGACCGATGTGTTTTCGTAGAGATTTTAGATTTATTCTTGTGACGTCTTTACCTGTAAGAATTTGATTCATCATTGTTAGAGGAAGATACAATTAACACTTTTGCATATAGCAATAGTTTCAATATCTTACCATCAATTAACACCTTTCCTGAAGTTGGATCATAAAATCTGAGTATAATAGAGATCACAGAGCTTTTGCCAGAACCACTTTGTCCCACTAAAGCAACACTTTTTCCAGAAGGAACTCTTAGATTGAAATCCTTGAAAATAATCACATCTGGTCTTGAAGGGTAGCTGAAATTGATTCTTTTGAGCTCAATTGTTCCTTCCACTGTCCTTAACTCTTCTCCAATATCACCTCTTATTTCTGATTTTCTATCCATTACTTCAAAAACTGATGCAACCATTTGGTTCCCTTTCAAAAGATCTGGTGCTAATGCCAAAGTTTCCCCCATAGCAAGTGCTGTTACAATTAAAACCATAAATGACTTCATAACTGATTTAAAGCTAGCTAGCTCCTTTCCCATCAAAACAGATCCATACCTGCAAAAAGTATACAAGTTTCAACCACCATGTGCATTGCGCGAGTGCTCAATACTAGTACTAGTTTATAACATATTAAGGAAATATTGAAGTTAAAGCATATACCATAAGGCAAGGCCATAAGATGAGAAGATGAAGAATTGGGAAATGCCATAGAATATGCCAGCAATTTGACCGCGTCGAAATGAATTTTTGGAAGGACCGACGAGCTCGTTAGCATAAAGATCAAGGATCTTTTCTTCAGAGCAAAATGCGGCGACAGTGCGTATATTGCTCACGGCCTCACCAGCAAGCATGTTGGCTTTTAGATATGCTTTGCTCAAGTTGCCACCATAACCTTTCATGAAAAGTTTCTGAAATGACAGAAGGAAAGTATTTAAAGGCCTGTTTGAATTGACTAATTTGAACTTATCTCTTGGCATAAGCACTCGTAAGACTGTTTGAAAAAGGTTATGGAACCTTCTTATGACATGTTCATAAGCTGTTTTCAGCTTATTAGGTTATTTTCATAAGCTCTTTCAGGTAGCTTACAGGAACAACTTATAACTTGTATAAAAACAGTTTGACTTTATCCAAACATAGCTTCAACAAATGTGCTAGTTTCTTAATGTTGAAGTGTAGAAAGAAGGAACCTCACCTCACTAATGTGACCACTAACTATCAAAGGATATGTGGCCAAGACAACAAGTGTGATTCTCCAGTTCAATAGGAAGGAAATAATAAAGGAAGCAACAACCAGACCAATATTCTGTAACAGGATCGTTGAGCGATCAACAACTATTGTTCGCATTAAGGTTGCGTCGGATTCTAAACGCGATGAAAGCATAGAGCTTGTGTTGCCTATTTCATCAAACCATCCAATTTCATTCTTCAAAATAGCTGCAGCAGAGAAATAACTGTAGTTAAGAAAAAAATACTGATATTGCAAATTCATCTTAACAAAGCATTATAGAATATTTTCTGATATGTTAACATGTTATAAAATCAATTGGACTAAGAATATTGAAAGGAAACACTTGACAGAAAAGTATTAACAGTTCATCAAAATTACCACTAAACATCTTCTCCCGCACACGAAGAGTAAGTCGCTCGCCCATGATACCAAAAAAGAGATGTTCGATGGCATGGACTATGACAGTTATAACTGCACCTCCACAGAAGAGGAAAGCAATTTTTTTAACTTCGTGACGCGTTGTATCCCAATCCATATAATATGAAACAAGAGCATGAGAGATTCCAAGTGCAAAAAGTGGCATTTGTGCTCCAGCAACAAATGCACATAAGGTCCCAAAAACTCCATAAGGCCAGTCAGGACCAACCATAGAATATAGCCTTTTTGCTGAAACATGCTTAGGCTTGCTTCCATCATCACCACCGACAATGCCAATCGAGTCTTTGTCCGATCGAAAACTACCACCAATGCTTGTTGTTGCACGCGAAAATTCTTTTGAGTAGCCCGTGCTGCAGGTATATAAGTAATATGTAAAAGAGAATAATAACTTATTTAACTACTGGTTCAAAGAAAAACAATACTGATACCGATGATTTTCAACGTGTATTGTTGAAATGCTCTTAACTAAATTATTTAATTATCAATTCATTTAATAACAATCGATTAATTGGAATTGCATAAATACCTTGATTGGTGTCCTAAGCTAGGACCAACCGAGGGAAGCCCTTGCAAAGAAGATGCACTTTGGAGTTGAACAAGAGATGCATAAACACTAGCTGGGTTGGACATGAGTTCTTCATGGTTACCAGTCTCCACAATTTTCCCTCCTTGTACAACAGCTATAACATCTGCATTCCTAATAGTAGAAAGTCTGTGTGCAACTACAATGGTTGTTCTTCCAACCATGACACGATCGAGAGCCTCTTGTACGCTTTTCTCAGACTCAGCATCAAGAGCACTAGTTGCTTCATCTAGTAAAAGGATAGATGGATTCTTCACAATGGCACGAGATATTGCAATCCTTTGCTTCTGTCCACCTGATAGTTGTATCCCTCTCTCACCAACCTAAATAAAATAGACTCAGCATCACCTTTCTTTAAAATAACAATGACAGAAACATTATCACAAACACCAAAGACTCTGCAATTAAGACATGTATCATAATAAAAACTAAATATGCATAGATCGAATATCTTTACCCGAGTGTCTAATCTTTCAGGAAGATTGTTGATGAAAGATTGAGCATCTGAAAGCTTCACGGCGCGTTTTAGTTCTTCAAGAGTAGCATCATCTTTTCCATACAAAATATTCTCTTTGATGCTTGTTGCAAAAAGTGCAGGCTCTTGATTAACTAGTCCAATTTGTTGCCTGAGCCACTTGAGATCAAGTTCTCTGATTTCATTTTTGTCTACAAGTATATGACCAGAAAGAGGTTCGTAAAATCGTTCGATCAACGATACAACCGTGCTCTTTCCAGAACCACTTCCTCCTACAAGTGCAACAATTTTCCCTGCAGGAATGTCGAGATTGAAGTTGTTGAAGATTGCTACGTCCGGACGAGACGGATAACTGAAACACACATTCTTAAACTGAATATGTCCCTCCACTTTGTTTAATTTTCGACCAGTTTTCGCGCTTTGTTTGCTCACTGTGTCCCTCTCTATCATCTTAAAAATCGGATAGGCTGCCGCCTTAGCTCGAATAAACGCTGAAATGTCTGGTGCCGCCTGCCCAAGTGACCTGATAAAAGAAATACAAAACGAATAAAACCCTGACACAGACACCGGACACGATACTGAAACTAAAACTAACTCATAGACACTAAGAATGTAATTTGGAAAAACGGAAGTGATTGAATGTAACTTACAGGCCGGAGATAACAACGTTGAGCATGGTAGTAAAAGACTCGCCGCCATTGGCGATATTCTTGTGAACAACAATGCTAGTGAACCAAACAAGCAAAGACCAAGATAGAAAAAGAACACAATGCATTGAACCAAGTCCAAGACCTTTAGCCAAACCAGCTTTTCTACCATTTACATAAGTTTTCATAAGAGCTGCTTTATAAGATTTCACAGCTCTTTCTTCTCCTGCAAAAGCTTGTACAGTTCTAACATTTCCTATCACCTAAAAATCACAAAAACAAAACAAAATCATCATTGAATAATAACAACAAAAAAAAAAAAGTAAGGTTTTCATAATATTATTGATATTTTGTTACCTCTTCAGCAATTTCACCAGCTCTAACATATGCTTTTCTAACTTTTGCAATGAGGCCAATTGTGACATAGGCATAAAGTCCTCCAGCAAGGGCAATCAAGGGAACAATTGAAAGTGTCACTAAACTAATCTGCCATACTCTCACAAAGCCAATTGTGAATCCAGCTATGAATCTGCTTATGTAGTGCATGAAGTTTCCTACCTGTGAATTTTAAACAATTCATAAATTTTATTAATTTTAATAAATTTATTTATCTATTTTCTAGAAATTTTTATCCAATTAGTAACCGTCGTGTATAACATGTAAGAGGAGGCTTCAATCCAATAGACGACATTCTCTTTCCTCTATACTTGTATACTATCGTCAATTGAATTGGTGCCTCCTCTTATGTGTTATACTATAGTCAATTCAATATGTGTTAGAATTTTTTTTTTTTTGAATGGAGGTTGTTAAAGCGGGTTAGTTGAAATATTTATTTGAAAAATAAATTATTTGGATTATTTTATCTAAAGAACCAACCATAATAATGACAAAACAGTAATTTATAATAGTAATGAGAAAAAAAATTTAAATGAAGTCACAAAACCAACCAACATACCTACAATTTCAAAAGAATTTGAATGAAATAAATGACAAGGTAGCAAGTGTTAATTTCTAACATGTGCAAAGACTCTTGATGCAGTTGTGTACAGTACTAGTACAGATAGATGTCTATTCATTCATTGCACCTTCTAGGGTTATTTTATAAGGCATAGAGTTAAGTTCAACCACAAAAAAATACATGCAAATAAAATAATTCATGTAACTATCTCAACCAACCTTTAAATGCTCTCACAAATGCATTAAATACACACAACATCAACACACTCTTCAAGAGTCAATAAGAAGGACTAGTAAAATATTTTAAGAGTTCAAAAATGTTTCAATTATAAAAAAACAATTCTTCCATTGACATGCTTTTGTTTTTGTTTTGTTTTGGTCAACAATTGACATGCTTTAATTAATGAAAACTATCCATTAGTTTATTGTTGAATAGACTTAAATATAGTACATAGATTTAGTCACTTATTTTGAATTTTCACTTTTAATTCATTTTATTTTCTTCAATAGTTTTTCCTCCTACAACTTTGTTTGGTTTCACTTCTCATTTAAGTGAAAAACCAAAAAAGTCAAAACTGAAAATTGCTAGGAAAGTTCAGAAAATGACATGTTACTAGTTTAAACGGTGTCATTATGATGATCATAACATATGTCCTGAAATGCATATTATGAACCATTTGTTTTTCTCTTCATAAATAAACATTTACCATATATTGCTAAAAATGTCCTTCTTTTTTAACAAATAAAATTTTCATAAATATTTTAATATTCGTTTATTAAATCTATATCAATTCATTGAGATTGATCATAATTAAATAAAAAAGAAGAGAATTAATGTATATTTGTACCTTCTCAGATAGAGCATCTTGAACAATAATAATATCACTAGTAATTGCAGAAATAACTTCTCCAGTTGAAGCCTCAGTATCAAATAAGCTTATATCTTGATTCAACATCGATTTTAAATAAGCCATTCTCATTTTTGCTGCTTGTCTTTCTCCAGTATGCATCCAACAAGCCACCTCTAGAATCAATCCAAAAATATATTAAAAAAACTAGATTCACATATATTAATTTTGATAATAAAATGATTTTAATCCTTAACTCTATATATAAATATATAAATATATAAATAATTTCCATACCTGTCCAAGATGAAAATAACATTGCTATACTTAGATACACAAAATCCAACGAGTACTGCAAAATTAAATAAAATTTAAATTAAATTTTATTGGTAAAGTAAATAATATTAAATGTTTATGATGACAGCTTTCTTCTGAAATCATATTAAATTTTTGACAGAAACATTTAATATTTATTTTTGTTTGTCACAAATCTGTCTATTTAATGAGAGGTTACCGTAGGAGATTTATTTGAAATTAAATTATTATTAACTAAAATAAATAAAAATACATGAAGTAATATAGATACTCATTTTAAAAAAAGTCAAATAATTAAATAAAAATTTAAACTTTTTATGAAAAAAAATAAAAAATTTCAAACCTTGGCAACTTGGTGAGAAGCTTCCTTAGGAAAAAGATAAGCCAAACCAATAACATTGATCAACTTTCCAAAGAAGATGAAGAAAACAGGAATAGAAGCACCATGAACACATGCTCCAATAGATCCAACAAACATTAAAAAATAATCATAGGAGTCAGCAAAAGAGAACAGCTTTAAGAAAGGAACTTTGTGTTCTTTTTTTCTCTCATCACCTTCATTAGACGATTCCATAACTTCTGAAAAAGTGATGAGAAAATAGAACAAAGAATAACACAAACAAAGTGTTGGTAATGTAGTACTATGACAAAGAGAAAAGTGAAGAAGAAAGAGGTGAGTGAGTTAGTTGTGATTATGATTGTGATTGAATTGAAGAGACTAACATGGGGAAGATAAGAGAGAGAGGTGGTGGTGGATGTGTCATAATATAAGGTTGAAAAAGAAGATGGAAAATTTATTACTACTAACTATATAGTATCAAGATTTAGATGGAATGAAAGGTTGAGGTTGAGGTTGATGTTGATTAAGAAAAGTTGATAGAAATGGAGATTTTCTTAGCATGAGTGGTTAAGAGTTACTATGGATTAATTTCTCTTAACTAGTTGTGTGTGATAACATATAGCTGACTTTTGAACTATGAGAGAGAGCAGAGAAAACTTTCACATATATGTCTCTCTTTGCATTGTGCATTAAATTGTATTGAGAGAGAGTTGTTGAACTTTGCTACTTAAAAGTGTAGGCCAATAAGTTGAGTTTTTAGGTGTATACAATAATTTTGTTAAGAAATCACACTACAATCTCTTTAGTAAAAATAAAATTGCATGTATTACAAGCATATGTATTTTTTATTTAAAATAAAAATTATTTATGCTTAACTTTTTTTATGCTAATTCTCCTATACTAAAACAAAGCCATGATAAATAAAATTTGACTTAAAGTTTGAATTCAAATTCACTACATCTTAAGTTGAGTTTGCTAAGAAACTAAATAATTAACCTTCCACCCACTCTTGTATTCAAATCTACGTTTTCCTCTCATGAGAAGTAAACAATGTAGTACATTTTGGTCCATTTAATTATGTTATTAACAATATAGTACATTTTGGTCCATTTAATTTTATTATATTCAGTATAGTACACTTTGGTCCATTTAATTCAATTATAAATAAATTTTAATTTTTGATATCAATAAAAAAAAATCTTCTAATGATTGCAAAACTATTTTATTTGTTTATTTTAAAAGTTGTAGATTTATAAATTCTAACACTTTATTTTTTTAATATATAAATATAAATAAATATTATCGAATAAACCATAAAAACTAATATGAATCTATGTTAACTTACACAGATTTATGTCAGATCAGAATTTTTTTAAAATAAAAAATGCTTAATTTTTTTTATAAATCTATTTAATTAAAAATACTCACTCATAATCATAAAAAAATCTTTTAAATTTCTATCACTGACATATTTAAATAAATATGATTAACTTAATTATTATTACTATATTGTATTTTGTATTTTAAATCAAAATATAAAAATAAATCTTAGTTATCTTAAAAAATTTATAAAAATAAATTGGAAAAAAAACTTAAAAACAACATTATAAATTGTTTTTATAAGTTCTTTTAAACAAAAAGTATCATAAAACTTATGTTATTAGGTAAATTCGAATAAATTAATGCAAACAAAAATTTAGTCTTATTGATCTTTTAGTTTGTTAATTTATTTAAACATTAGTTAAATTACTCATTTACAAATATTCAAATTAAATAGACTTTTAAATAACTAATAAATTAATCAAACCTTTTGAAAAAGCAAGACTCAAATTTAAACTTATGATAGGGTACAAACCAAATTTAAACTCTAAATATTTTAGATGATGAGATTCATACTTGGCAAAGACTAATTTGCCTATTTACATCTATCTAACTCAATATAAAAAAAAACTATTTTTTTTCAATAAGCAAATTGATTGTATTTTTTTTTTAATAAGCAAATTGATTGAACAAAACGTGCTCGAACAAATTATAGGATTAACGTAATTTGAGATTCGTAGGATTTCTCCATCAATTATAAAAGTACAATATTAATATACTTTTCAAATCTATTACAATCCAATTCTAAGAAATTATTTTGATGAAGTAACAAATTTCTTCAACTCCCCTATTTACTGTATTGTCTTAAAAGATGATGTTATTTCTCCTCAACCAAAAACACCAACAATGTTATCTAAAGGATATAATAACTTTAACTTTTTTTTTTTTTTAACAACCTTCCCTTCAAGTCATTAGTAATAAATTTTGAACAATTTATTTTTTATTTTATGATTGTAAAAACAAAAAGGTAATAAATTATTTTTCAACATTAGAACTTTAACAACATTTTTTTCAAATACATCGTTCTATTATTTAAAAATTTTATCAATAACAAATTAGTTATTTATGTTGAAGTTCGTAATTGTGATGTTGGAATTTGTTTGAAGTTTCATATTGTTTAAATTTTAAGAATGTTGGGTGTATAAATATATGAATGTGATTTCGTAACTATGAGATGCAATCTAAAAGAAGGGAGAGAATGAATTATGATTGTTAACTTTTTTCTCGTTTTAGCCTAAGTTTCTTAAATTATTAAACTATCAAAATAACTATGAGATTTTTAACAATGTCAGTGTGCTAAACTTGTTGTCATCTCACTCGAATCACGATCCAATCTTTCTTCAGTGCTATCTGAAACGTCACAATAACTACAAATACTCCTTTAAATTTGAAAACTCATGGCTGCAGAAAGATGATATCACAAAGGTTGTTACTATAGGTTGGAATCCAAACAGATAAGTGGAAATCACGGATCGCATTGCTGATTGTGCGGAGGAACTTAGAAGGTAGAGTCGGAGGAAACAATCACAGTTTAGAGAGTTGGTGACACAAAGTATGGAGGACATGGAGAGATACCGAAATCGGCATGAACAGGGGGCACAAAAAGGTTCATTGAAGTATAGAGAAGACATTCCAAGACTCTCGTACATGAGGAAATCTTTTGGAAACAGTGTGTAAAGATGCATTGGCTTAGAGAGGGTGATTTGAATACAAAGTTCTTTCATTTGTTGGCGACGGCAAGAAGCAAGTTCAAGAGTATTAACATGTTGTTAAATAAAGACAATCAAGTTGTTACAGATCAAACATGACTTTGCAATGTTGCCAAGAGATATTTCAGAGCGTACATGAGTTGGATAAACCTACAAAATTCGGCCAAACTCATCCAAATCGATCCAAAAAAGTGGGTTTGAACAAGTAAATGGGTCAATATGGTTTTCGTAAATAAAAACTCATTCAAAATATATGGATTTCGGGTAAACCCATACCCAACCACACAACCCACTTAATCCAAAAAAATTGCCATTAACTAATATATATATATATATATATATATATATATATATATATATATATATATATATATATATATATATATATATATATATATATATATATATATATATATATATATATATATATATATATATATATATATATATTTTTTTTTTTTTTCTTTTTCTTTAGGTCTCTTAATGACTTGATATTTGAACTAATATTTATATATTTATCATTGGAATTTGGTTGAAGATACAACAATGTTCTTAAGTTTTTACTTTATTTTTATAATTTGATAAATGGTGACTTAGATGTATTCATACTTAGTTTCTTCAATTTTAGGTCTTATTTTGTGAGTCATGATTTTGAATTATTTATGATATTGCACGTTGATTATTTTGATGTGAATATTAATAAGATCGGAGTAATTTATGTAATTCTAGTTTTAGGTACTACCATAATACAACTTTGATTTTAAAAAATATTTTTTATTATAAATTTTATAGAATATTTAGACATTTGATGTTAAAAGAATAACACTAATATGACTAAACTTTTTTCAATAAAAAATAGTTGGGGCATTTCTTGAAAAAAATATGACACATCATTTATAGTTAGACTTAATATCCTTTTTGGCCCCATATCTTAACTTCAAGGTGCATTTTGGTCCCTTAACTTAAAAATGGTCCATATTGGTCTCTTAACTCTTCAAAAAGTTCCATATTAGTCCTTTTTGTTCTATTAGCGATGGAAAAACTCAAAAATCTGTCGCTAAATTCGTCGCTAATTAGACAAAAAGGACTAATATGGAACGTTTTGAAGAGTTAAGGGACCAATATGGACCTTTTTAAAGTTAAGATACAAGACTAAAAAGGGTATTAAACCTTATAATTATATAAGAAAAAACAAGGGGAAAAATTAGGTGACCCACTTCCCAACCCAATCCAATCCATAAATTTATTGTTTTATCCAAACCGACCCAATGATATTGTGAGTGGTTATTTTACCTCACCCAAACTGGTATATTCTATGTGGGTTGAGTTTTGGTTTTAGCCAAACCCAACCCAAACCGACCCATGTACACCCCTAATTTCAGCAAGTTATTTGTAGCAAAAGAGGGAGTTTACGACATAGTTTTTACTCACATTCAGCCAAAGATTAACGTAGAGGATAATGCAAAGCTACTGGCTCCGATAACAAAGGCAGAGTTGTACAAAGCTCTGAAGCATATGTGGACAAGTCACCGGGGCTGGATGATTTTAATCCCATTTTTATCAAAATTTCTGGGAAGTATGTGGAGATGATGTCACGACAGCGACAACATTGTGGTTATAAAGGGTTTTTTTCCCACCATCTATCAGTGATACAAACATATGCCTTATTCCTAAATTAGCAAATATGATTAATATGAAGGATCTCAACCCGATCTCTCTGTGTAGTGTGATGTATAAGATAATTTCTAAACTACTTGCGAACATACTTAAGTGCTGCTTAGCCAAATGTGTAGCAGAAGAACATGTTTGCATACTTTGCTTGATCTTGCATGATTGATTCTTATTGAGTGCATTGTATCTGGATACATGTTTGTCTTGTGCATTTACGCTGTTAAATGCTGCTATTCTGTTGTTGCTGCATACATGCCTATCCTAAAAATCTGTGTTGTTAAATGCTGTTGTGTTGTTGTTGGAAATACACTCATGTTCTGAATGAAGCGTTGTCATATGCTGCTGTTTGTACTTTTTCTTAGCTTTTTTCTTTCTCTTGCATGTCCCCTTAGGGCTTCATAGTCCAACTTAATTTTTGATTAAGATTGGAGTAGGATAAACATTAGGTTATTGATCCGAGCATGACAACATTAG